TGTCTCTTCTACATGTTATCAGTTTCACCTACCACATGTTATTTACGAGATGCAATCGTTTTACCCCATCTACATTCCCTATCTTATTCTAATGAGATTCTTGAGGTTTGTTGTTGTTGCTATTGATATAATTGACTTTGGTTTATAATTAAATATATTTTTATAAAAAAGGTTAAAACAAACATAAAATAATTATTTTTATAATATTGGTATTAATGGAGTTGTTAATTCGAAGGCTCACGTAATAAAGATATTGAAAAGTAATATATTTTTATTTACGATCTTTATATCCATGCGTTTTTTATGAATGTATGTATGAACATTTTTTCTTACAACTTTTTAGCAGGAGTAATCTAAACAAAAGTTGTAGTAAACTCAAATACGAACGTGTGGATATAAAGATCGTTAAAATCCAAGATCGTATGAAGAAGTTGCGACATTCAGAACACAAGACCTAAGCCAAACCACAAGACCTAAACAACCAAGCAGTCGAGGTCGCGGTGGCCATAAACATCAACATCCCTGAACACCTCATTAATGATTGTCGCACGTAGGATGCCGTGAGGAAAACTTAAAGCAGCCTGTCAGAATGTGTACAAAAACAACAATGACTTATTTTGCAACAAAAAATATTAAAGACTAAATGTGCAAAAAAAAATATTGAGGACTAAATGTATACACAGTGATAAATAATTACTCTATTAAGTCATTTTTCCCGGTTTACCTGGAATAGCCAGTCATAAGGACTGAATGTATACAGTTTAACAAGTAAATGGGTAAATGTGGATGAAAAAAACTCAGTGACCATAAATATATAAATCAAAAAATATATTAGTCTTTTAAATCATTATCCCAATTATAAATTGTTTTATATTCTATAAACCAAAAGGAACATCGAAATTATCAAATGGTGAAAATAATATAATGAACGGAGAATACTCTATACATCCTTGACAAATAACAAAATATTCTATTTATCCATTTTTTATTCTACATATCATATTTATATTTCTTAAACTTTTGAAATATCATAATTGCCTAAATTATTACTATTGTTTAATATTTTTTAACAATTCAATAATTTTTGGTAATTTAAAATAATTATAATTATAAAAAAATATGAAATGACAACAATACCCATACTTCTAAACTATTGGAATACTTTGAATCTAATATCACAAACACATACCAGGGATTCAAAAGATATATGTATGTTTCTTATATTTTTTTTCTAAGAGATGATAATTCCTTGTAATTTGACCATGTATTTTTAGCATGGTGGATCAACTAACCAAAGAAAAAAAAGTCAAGCAAAGAGTTATAACTTGTTTTGATTGGCAAATTGTCGGTGTTGCTTGGTCTTGGCAAGAAAGAAGTAGAGGACGATGATGGCTTTCGTCAATTAGTGGTGGTCGGGGGCCATAAAGGTGGATACCAGAAACCAAAGGTGGGGCATCAATTTTTTAACAAATACGAAGGAAGATAAGGAATGGGAAGAAAGATGGAGATGCTGGGAGCAAGAGGTAGATAAGAGAGATTCAGAGAGAGCGGCAGGGCTGCAGTGTGGCAAGAGTGACGAGACGACATCCCCGGTGATCTTGTCAAGTAGAGGAGATGTGAGAGAAACACATTGTCCAATCTAGAATGAGAGAAAGCTGATTTTAGGTGTGTTCGACAAAACTAGCTGGTAGCGGGTAGCTTGTAGTTTGTAGCGTTTTGTTAAACGCAACATGAAGTAGCGTTTGGATTTGAAGCGTTTTGTTTAAACTAAACGCTAAAAGCTTGTAGTGTCGAATGAGATTTTCTGTTCAAAACGGAGCGTTTTGTCAAACGCTAGAAGCTCTCAAACGTTTGCAAACGCTCCGTGCCGAACACACCCTTTTGTTTTATGTTGTAGTTACCTATAGGGTTTGAAAGGGTATTAGATGTTATTTAAATATTTATATTAAGGGTATAAAGTGATTAAAATAAAGATTAAAACTTACTATAAAATATTAAAAACAATATGAAAAATAAGGATTTTGGCACATATGATCTTCAAAAAATTTAAGAAAAGATATGATATTTAAAATCAATGGCTGACGTAGAAAAAAAAAGTATGAGGGGCTGCACAATTTTTTTAAAGTTTGCACTACTAAAAAAACTAATTTTCAAAGATAATTTCCGTCAAAAAATCCGTCACTAAAAATGTTACACCGACATATTTATATTAAATTTACACTTATTATGACTTAATTTGACGAATTTCCAATGGATTCGTGACAAATTTCTGATGGATTTGTATTGAATTTGTGATGGATTTTGACGAATTTACATTAAATTTTTGCACTTCACGGTAAAATTTAAGAGGTTGCATGTGCCACCCAGTACCTCCGCCCATGTTTAAAATCCAAGTCGGACAAATATGTCCTAGAATCAAAATGTAATGACAATCAATTAAAGGCTATATAAAAGGATGTGTCGGTAGGGTTGGGTCATCAACAAAGTAGAGGGATGACAAATTAGAGGTTAAAGTAGGGATGAACATTGGACCAAAAAATAAACCGAAACCGAAATCGAAACCAGAACCGCTTAGGACCGAATAAGCTAATCCGGTTCGGTTTCTGGTTTTGTATTATGGACTTAATCAATCATCGGTTCTTTCGGGTCCGGTTCTACAAACCTGGAACCAGATATTGAAGAGTATTTTTCCCTCATCAATTGGCCACGCTGAAGTTGATCACACGCACAACCCACAAAAAAAAAAAAAAAAAAAAAAAAACTTTATGTGAAGTTGATCCCTCCTAAGTCGAGCAAACTCAATTTTTTTTTCCACAGATGTTTGCATCTTATGTAATGCTATTTCTGTACGTATACTAAAAATAAGCACATTAGTCATCAGGGAACATTCGGGATGGTCAATTCATATGTAACTCAAACTGTAGTATATACTGAAAATGGATATATTTTTTCCTAGATCAAGTAACATTATGGCTGTTATGAATTTATCTTGGGTGATATTGAACAGTGGAAGTAAAACAGTCTTGATGTAATGGTTCGAGAAGTTGGGAATCTTTGGTGCAACACTCAACAAGAATATATGTTTTTCCAGTATATTTTTAATTCATATTCAAATTTTAAAGAGATATTAAAACAGTGGCGGAGCCAGACTTAAAGAGAAGGGGTATCCCAAATTTTTTTTCTGGGTATCACCACAACGGCTGAGCATGGGGCGGGTCGGGTCAGTTTTGACCTAAAACCGAACCCAAAACCGACAGCCTCGGTTTTGAAACTTTTAAAACTGAACTGAACCCAAACTCATCGGTTCGATGTTTCGGTTTTCGGTTTGTACTTGGGTTTCTCGGTTTTGTTTTGGTTTTAAACCCGAATCTTTAGCTAACTTCAAGTATTGTTATATAAACATGAATTTGAAGTATCTTTTGATACTTGAATCGATATGGGACTCAAAGTAGATATCAAATGAAGCACGAGGATAACAAGTTTATATAATAGATGAAAATAACTGAGTTTACATGTGTTTGACGATGTGGGATAGAATAGTTGGAAAAATAATAGAATAAAATAGCTGGAAAAATAAAAGAAATGTAAACAAAGGATTTGTAAGGAGCAAGAATTGATCTTAAGACCTTTGTTTTAATAAACCAACACCTTAACCGGTAGACTAGTTGTTTGCTTGTACCTAGCAGTGAAGCAATGCGTATATATACACTACATAAAACAAAATTTTTCTAAAAAAAATCACACTACCGAAAAAAGTTTTAGAGGTATCCCAGGCTACCCCGGGATACCCCTTGGATCCGCCCCTGTATTAAAAGTGTGTGACAGAGTGAGCATTAGTAACTTCTCTGTGTTTGTTAAAAGCAGAAACCCATAAGCATCAAATTTAAATTTATCATTAAGATTTTAATTGATTAAGAAGGTTTTGCAGTTCCATAAAAAAAAAAAAGTCTATCTTAGTTTGCTACTTTTCAGATTATGATATATGAACTTCACTATTTCAAGTAAGACCTTAATCAGGATGAACAATATTAGCATTACTGTCTAATCATATATCTATATGAACTGCTAAATTGGAATCAAAGTCTAATATATGTTTCTTTTGATTGGTTTTGTGATAAGTTATAACATTAATAATAACAAACCTTCAAGGCTAAGTAATACAAACAGAACCTAAGTTTAAAAAGAGTACCAAACAGCCCTTGAATTCATATTTCTTTTACCAAAACAACCCGGTTTTTCTAGTTCTAAAACCTGAATCGGTTCTTTTCGGTTCCAAAGCAAATTTTAAATGTTTTTTTGGTCCTTCCCAGTTAATACCCGATTCGGTTTTCGGTTCCTATTATTGTTCAACTTTGATTTTCAGTTCTTCCGGCTCTCACCGGTTTACATCCCTAGGTTAAAGTTTATATATGTATACACATTTTCTTTATTTTTACAAAAATAGTGAATGATTTCATTTTATCTTAAAATTTATTATAGATCTATTTAAATTATGTTTAACTTTAGGTAAACGATATTCGATAAGAAATTGAGTTAAAACGAGTGACTTTCACAATTTTGTGAATCCATACTTCATAATCATTTATTTTAAGAAATTTTACATAAAGTAAGTTATATAAAATAAAAACTAATAATATTTTTATTAAATGATTAAAAAAATGATGTGTGAATTTAAAATGTATAAAATATTCTCCACCAAAGGTTTTTAGTCGAACAGCAAAGAATGACTTTTTCATTTGAGAGGTTATGGATTTGAGTCTCGTTTGAAACATATGTAATGATAATTATGAATAAGATTAGTTTGTCAAATCATATTTTCAAATAACCCTAGAATATTTATCAATTTTCATTCAAAGAGCCATAAATGTATAACTAAAATGACGGTGGACACAATATAGAACTTTACTAATAACCAAGGGACTATTGTCGTAATTACTGCAAACTTTACTTATAAAGTTGCAGGGGTTGTTACACAGTATCTCCATATCCGACGACTAAAAATGACGACGACTTCACTGCAACTAAAGCTGAGAGGAATCTTCTTAGCCGACGATTCGCCGGAGAAATGGACCAACCCCTTCAGTGACATCTTCACCAACGTCATCGACGCCGTAAGCAACTTCTTCCAGCGTCTGATCGGGATGTTCAACCAGGAATTCCCCCCGGACAGCCGTGACGAGCAGATCCGCCACTGGTTCGACGGTGCCACACCCTATCTCATAGCTGCCGCCGTCTTGATCACCGTCCTGTGTTGCTGGAGCTGCTTGCTGTCGTGCATCTCTTCCATTTTCGTCGGCTGTTTCAACGTCGTCCGTTCATTCTTCCGGTGTTTCGGTCGGTGTTTCTGCTGCTGCTGTGGAAGAAGGATGAGAGCACCCGGTAGATCTCCGATGATGATGCGAAGGTCTGCGTTTGAAGCTAACCCTAGAGGCTATTTTCGTGATCTTCGTGGGAAGCCTAATAATTTTGTTTACTAGTTAACTTTGTTACATTTTCGTACAACATGCTACTTGTGTGATCGTTGCTCTTTGATTTTTAGGTTTACTTTCCTGTTTCAAGAAATGGAAAAGAGTGGTTTCACTTTTTGTTCATTGGTAATTAATTATGTTAAAAAGATTGTGCAGATTTTCTTTCTTTTCTTTTTTGTTCCATGAAATGATGATTTGTTTATAGAAAAATCTTTATTAAAGTAAAAGTATTTTTGATGGTACGAACAACATTAAAAGATATCATGGATCAAATATATAACTCTTATTAGGGGGTCCCTCTCTTGTTTTTTTGTTTGCAAAGTCTTTCGAATTTGTTTTCAAGTTCAATTCGTACAGAATTTACAATCTAATTAGCAACATAAATAATTATTGACCCTAAGTCTCCTATCTGTTGGAAATCTAAAGGGCTAAATGGAACTTGGATATAGATATTTGTCACCCATTTGATTTTCATATTGCGGATATTAATCATCACCTTTTAGTCTGTTACAATTCCAAACCTCCTCTGACTAGTTGCTTTGTCCCATACAAAGACTTATGTTCTATACAAAGAAAGACATTTAACACTTGCTATGTGTTAGGCTTGATGGTATACCAAATACTTTACATAGCGGTTTGCTGACTGGGATAAAAACCACATTTTGGAACACCATACTTTAAGTGTGGTTTAAGTGAGGGATTTCCCCCCACTGGATCGCCTCCCCGCATTCCCTAAGATGTTGGGATGCTATGTGACAATGGTGTCGATAAGATGTTGGACCAAGGTAGTTAGGAAGTGCGACCTCGCCATATAGTTTTTTAAATTGTTATTTGGCGTGATTGTTGTACCAAGCTTCGAAGTTCGTAAAGCAACTGCGACGTACTCGGTCCATGATTCTTACCTCCTAGTCACGCCTGAAAGTTGTCTATAAAAACATCGTTGAGGAAAACGCGCATGCTCCGCCAACGGGGGATGAGATCTGCGGCTAGCGCCAGGTAGCATGTTATATTTTTATGTCCATGAGGAAACTTTGGGTGGCTGGTCAGCAGTGTACATTTCGCAAGTCCCCTGTAAATGCTTTTCAGGCCGAGCTTTGCTCTGTGAGTGTGATATGCGAGAGGTTCTTTCGAGCTTTTTCAGACTTAACTTTGGGTGTCTAGGCCGAAAACACTTGTGCTTTGCTCAACCTGCGAGTTTCTCAGAGCTTTGTCTCGAAAGCATGTACTTAGTAATTAAGAGAGGATTCTCAGGCTTGATGGTATGGTTTTGACCGCCGCAACACTGGAGCAGTTATCTTGTAGCACCCGCTTCCTGGTATGTATTTTATTTTAGTAATTTTGCATTTTTGGCCTGGGACTCGGCGAGTTGAAGGCCCAACTCGCCGAGTAGAAGCGGGATGAGACGCGGGATTTAAGTGATGGACTCGTCGAGTCGAGTCCCGGACTCGACGAGTAGACTCTGTCTGGACAAAACCCTAAACTGAGGGTTTGCACCCTATTTAAACAACCTTATACAGCCTCCATCGTCCCTTATGCTCCCAGAAACCCTCTATAGAAAACCCTAGCCGTTGTTGAAGCAATCTAAGTCATTTTGGTGGATCTTGGTGTTGGTGGTCTTAAGAAGGAAGGAGAAGAGCTTGAGGAAACAAGAGGAGACCAGAGGGGTTCGAGTTTGTGCTTCATTTTCAGTCCTCAGAAGGTATAAAGTTGCTAACTTGTTTGTTCATTTGCTAGATCCCATTTTGTGGAGATTTAGGGCTTTTATAAGTCATTTTAGGTAGCCAACCATGAATGCAAGCATGGTTGGGGACAAGGCTTCGGATCTAGGTCCTTTGAGGGGTCACAAGGCAGAAAGTGGGTGCTTTTCCACCCAAGGAAGACTCCATGCAACCCAAGAGCTTGTTTTAGGACCTTTTGGACTCAAAGCCCCATGCATGCATGTAAAGTTTGTAACTTTACGTGCTAGGACGATTGTAGGAGCCTAGATCTATCTTTTGGTCATGAGTTGTACATCAGAAATCGAGGATTTAGGGTGTGGACGTGACCAACTCGGCGAGTCCGTTCTTGGGACTCGACGAGTCCAAGGCTTTGAGTCTCATATCTGTTGAGGGTTAAAAGAACTCAGTTGGGTGTTAGTAAGGTTGTAGCAGGACATAAAGAGTGACCCAACGCATTGGACTTCATTTTAGACCTGGAGTTCATGGGACTCGACGAGTGCTAGAACAGACTCGGCGAGTCCAAGGCAATCTCCCAACCCTTGAAGATGAACTCGACGAGTTGTTCATACAACTCGGCGAGTCGAGGACAGGACGTGTTCTTAGGATGAAGACGGGCTCGACGAGTGTTCATACCGCTCGGCGGGTCGGATGAAGGTTCATCTGAGGTTGTGTTAGAAGGAGAACTCGTCGAGTCATCGCTAAACTCGACGAGTAGGGACGTGGAAGAGGACAGTTGAAGGGGTAGGGACTCGACGAGTTGACGACCCAACTCGGCGAGTCGGGTCAATTGGAAGTTGACTTTGACGTTAACTTTGACTTTGACTTTGACTTGGACTTGGTCTGGGGTAAAATAGTCATTTTACCCTAAAGGGTAGATACCAGATTCTGATTAAGTGTTTTGTGGGGAATATAGCCGGAGGATTTCCGGAGCAACAGCAGTCAGAGATTCTCCCGCACAGATTATCAGCAGCTACTCGTTTGAGGTGAGTTTCCTTCCAGTAGGAACAGGTCTAAGGCACCAAGGTCGGCCCGTATAGACGATATGTTAGTATCGGAGTGTGGGCAGAGCCCGTATCTCATAGTTGAACTTGATTATGATATATGCTTGTACGATAGAATTGTTTATACTCGTTGTCTGTGTGATACTTGTATGTTATGGTTTAGTAGATGAGTGTGGGCGAGGCCCGTATCTCAGAGATAGTGGAGTGTGGGCGAGGCGCGTATCTCCCAGATAGTGGAGTGTGGGCGGGGCCCGTATCTCCCAGCTAGCGGCGTGTGGGCGGGGCCCGTATCTCCATGAGTGTGGGCGGGGCCCGTATCTCCTAGATGTTCCTTATATGTGTATGGTATGTGGTATTATGGGGGAGCTCACTAAGCTTTGTGCTTACGGTTTTCAGTTTTGTTTCAGGTACCTCTTCTTCGAAGGGGAAGGAGCCGGCGCGGTAGCTGCACATCATACACACACCCCAGATTCCGCACTATGATTTTCCTTGGGATTGTGCTCTGACATTATCACTATTTACGATTTGGATTTTCAGACATTATACATAGTTTTATGAGATGTTATGATTTGACAATGTTTTTCCTCCGAATGTTTTAATTAAAGTAATTTATAAAAATGAAATTTTTGGGCGTGAAAATTGGGCTGTTACATATCCAAAGAGACGACACGATCAAATTATAAGTCGATTTGAATTTTCTGTCATGATTGCTTCAAAATGCTTTGCGGAGTAGCAGTAGTTGTGTACCGCTCTTGTCCCCCCTCCCATTTTTTTCTTCAAAAACCGAGTGGGCCGGGCTGCAGCGCTTATTCTGAAAGTGTATCTTGTTTAGCGGGGTCGTGGCACGTGAACGCTTGGGCGAGGTTGATTTTTGTCTTGCATAGTTAGTGGGTTGTTTGTTGTCTTGAACTTGCTTGCTTTGGTCCTGGACGGTTCATGCTGGTTTAGTTTCTTCTCCAAGGATAATATTGGTCCATGAGATTAATCTGTTCATGTTTTTCCTATCAGAGGGGTTTCTTTCCAAAGGTTTGTGTTAGCCTTAGGAATTGACTAGGAGTGATTCCTACTTGTTATACGGGATGTTAAGACTCAAAGGATTCTCTCTTTTTGCTAAGTGAGAGTTTGTTTGTACTTAGCCAAAGTTCTTTGGCTTTGTCCCAGAAGTTCGCACTCGCGAGCTCGGGGCTCGTATTTCCTTGGAGTCCTTAGCTTGTGTTTTCAGGTTGAGACCTTAGCTGGTCCCATCTTATGAAACTTGACTGGTCCATTTTTCTAGGGTACCTCTGATTACCCTTTTTAAGACTTTGCTCTAAGTCTTGGGCCAATGAAGGTTGCACTCCAGGCCTATTCGTCTAAGTTAATCCGAGATCATCACCTCGAGGTGTTTAGGACTTAGGTGTTTTTATGTCAAGGGAAAGGTTGCGAGCCTTTAAAGCTTTTATTCATGTTATGGTCAAAGGTCGTGGACCATTGAATTAGACTGACACGTTTAGGGAAAGGTTATGAGCCTTTGAACTCTGTTGGTTGCATTCTCGCATCGATTTCACTCAAGTGACGCGGGTGATCAGTCCTTGTTATTACTTGGAAAATGTGCACAACCTCTTATTAAGATGATATCAAGCTCAAATAGTAATAAACTTTGAAACGAAAATGAGCCCAGAACAAGAGCTAACTGTTGGGGTGTGATTATCCACTTGGAGTTAAATCAAATTGCCCTCGCCCTTGCTGTGTCTTATTCTGTTTTTTCTCCTTGCTCTAGGAGTAAGAGTGGCTAGAATTGTGCGCGTTCCAAGTCTGGGGGATGGGCCTTCCGTTTTTTGTTTAGAGGACGCAGGCTTTATTCTGGTGCGTCTCCACTATCCAGTCATTATGCCAAGGCTATCCAGGCCACGCTAATGGGCCTGACATCAACAAGTCTTCTCATTGTTAACATATAGAGCGAGGCTGCTACGTGATTACGCCACATCGATGTTGTGGTGTTTTTTTCATGTCTTGGTGGGATGTCACCAATTAATCACCTACATACTCTGTCTTGTAATAAGCATTGATAGCCATCTTCAAGGTGTTTCTTGCTTGGGTTATGCCTAGACGGATTCTTCCAGTGGTGCGTGATGATGCACGAATTATATTGCACAGCGTAACGGAATTAACCGGGTTTGGTAGTCTGCGATCACTGATGATCTGTCGCATTATGAGTTGTAGTGACAATTGGCGCGAGGCTGCTGAAGGCTAGGAAGCAAGTTGCTAGTGAGGGATAAGTTGCGCGACTTCTAAGGGCTGGGCTACGAGG